CTGGTCCCACAGACCTATTCTCTCAGCAGTTCAAGGGTGTACCAACTGCGCTCGGCCGAACTGCGCTGGGCCGTGGTGCTGGTCCCACAGGCCTACGCTGGTCGAAACCTTACCTCTATTAAGGAAGGTGTCGACGCAGTTGTTATCTACCCCCGTCTTGGTGGGGATACTCAACTCACGTCCGTTCGCTCCGTGCTCGGCAAGCTCAAGCGCTTTTTAGTTTTCTTTTTGAAGTTGTTTTCGGTACTTCTTCGCTGTGCCGGAGCCAGTTTCCGGCCTGGTCAATGGACGAAAAAACGGAGAAAAGTAAGAAAAAAAATAAAAATAAAAATAAATCAAGAAAATAAAAATAAAAATAAAAATAATAGAGTTGAAGAGGACGATGATCTGCCGACGCCCTCTTGGTCTTGCCAGTCGAACCCAGGTTTGGGCCCGTCCGGTACAACCAAGGGGGATAGTCACTTGAGACCCTCGACCCCTTAGTCTCCACTTGTCGCGCTTCTTTGCTCCATCGCCACTTGCTGGCCTCGAACCCCAAACCTGTCTCTCGAAAGCCCGATATCGTAACCAATAGGGCAAAACCCAAGTCTGAACTAAGTAGGGGCGAACCCGCATATAAATAGTCGTGGGACCGCGATTGGTTCTACCTGCACAAACCAAGTCTTCGCCTTGGCCTACCGACCATCCTCTTAGCCGACAGGAGACGTCGAAATGTCGCCCGCTGCTAGGATCGTATCTATCTAGTCTCCTAGTCGTCGGGCGCACGACATGTTTTTGTCGAACTTTAGTCTTCCCCCCCATACTAGGTTTGCCAACGCCTCCCCTGGTCGACGCGCCGTCCAACATAAACTTCCCGCATATGCGCAAGGTAAAATTTTATCCTCTTCACACCGTGTCCCGTCAGAGATCGAACCAGTTAGCGATATCAAGCTGGTCTCTACAAAATAAAAGAAAAATATAATTAAAAAAATAAATAAAAATACAGAGAATGTAGGTAGACCCTATGGCTTTGGTGTCTTACGCCATCCTGTTATTGCCGACTAACAACCATCTCACAGCGCAACGCAATAATGCGTGCTCCACTCACACTCTAATTCGGTCGTATTTGATTTGGACTTTGCCAAAAGAGAGGTCGCCGAGGTGGGCGCCCTGACATAATCTGTCTCATCAGCATGTTATGCTGATCAAGGACGCATTCAATACGACCTTTCAAAAGGACGGCAAATACCCTTGTAAGGGTTTTTGCTACGACAGTCCTCCCAGACACCATTAAGCGACGTCCCCGTCGCTTCGAGTAGAGACTAGAAAGTATGAACGAAATCACAGGTGAATGCATAGACTGAACAGATGGATATCCAAATCCGTATAATCGGAAGGACTCAGCTTGAGGTTTGGTATTCTAGTTTTGCGGCGTCTCCATGGTGAGTAGGAGTCCAACCTGCACATCCTGTTTGACTCACAGGGATACTTTCTTTATACTACCGCCCTAGGTTAGCTTGAGTGTTCAAATACCAGCCCTTTCCGTTTGTCCTAGACGCCTTCCGACTTTCGTTGGGTGCCATCTGAATCGGGCTGTTAAGAAGCCGTCATCTTCGGGCGCGGGTTTTTAGGCAAGGCAACTGCCATGAGTGGGACAAACTGCAGCACATAACCAACGCAGATAGTCCACCATTCTAGAGTAGCTTAAGCAAACTTAAAGCATACTCCTCCAGGTAGCTCATTCTGTAGTTAAAAAATTAAGTAGCATACTCCTCTTAGTGGCTTATCATATAAAAGCACACCCCCTTGAGCAGCTCAACTTGTGACACACATAGTGCTGCACGTAGCTCACTCCATGCAAATTAATCAAAAGCTTAGCCTGACCCTGCGTCTAGTCATAGGTGGGTTATAGTCCTGCCCTGAGCCCTTCATAGTTTGGATGGTCGGGCCAAACTACGCTTCATCACGCCATTAAGCCACGATGTTGCCTACATTGCTTGCTCAATGCTAAGACGACTCTCTGACTTTTGGACCTAAGTACCCCCTAGCCGTCGCCCTAATTAGATTCTTTGGAGTGACCCGATACTTGGCTTAAATATTTAGCCCTCCCATATAATGGTTGTAATAAGATAGTAATAATAAAAATAATATTAATAATACTATTATAATAGTAAATAATAATTAATAATAGTAACCATAGTTCCCCGTTTATATAATATATATCATGGATGATAGTGCAGGTCGCTCCGCCGTCTCTAAGTTCAGGCTAAGCTAGAGGTCCGCTGTCCTGGTTAGGCGAGACAGCAGCCCACGTTGGGGGTTGCCCCAACGATGCCAATTTAGCCCTCGGCTTAGGCCTCCCAAAATACTCTTGAGTCAGCTTCCAATGCTTGCAGTCGTTCTGCTTGATCATGGCAGATGCGACTGCTGACCCCAGAGCCTCACAAACAAGTTTCTTTCTCTTTGGAAGAAACCCCTCATCAT